CACTGGGTGAGCTCCCGAGGGCCCTGCCAGCCCCGGCCAGTCTGGGATTTTGTGTGATTCTGTGAATGAAGAACATGTCTGTGGTACCTCAGGTAGGTTGGGCTACTGCATTTAAAAACCATGAATGCAGCCAGTGGATGTTGTCAGATGCGTGGGGAGGTGGTGGTGGTGGTGTTCCTGTAAATTGCTGCCCTGAACGTCTCCCCGCTGCGTGCCGAGGTGTACCCAGCTGCAGGCACCGGGAAAGCCGCCCGTTTGTATTTTGCTGAGAATTTACAGTGGTGATTTTTTAGCCTGGCTCTTGGAAATGCAGAAATAATGTTTAAGTCGCTGTGGCTCGTCGAAAGAGGGGGGGGGGGAGAAGCTTTTAGTCTCCTGTTTTGGGATTGTATTGGTTATTGCTAATGCCTTGAACCTGAAACGCAAACCAACTTGAGAACACGCTCCGGGTCATTACTCATTAGCTAGTACAGTTGCTGCTAGCTGACGCGGTTAAAATTAACCAATATACGAATCGGTGCATAGGTGTTATGGAAAAAAAAGCCTTTTTTATACTGTGCCACTTGCTTCAAACAGAGCTCTGATGCCGTGCTGTTGCTTTTTACAGTTGAATGGTGGCAATTTGTGATGTGCATGTAGCTAAAAGTGGGAGTCGGTGGTGCTTGGGTCCGATTGACTTTTGGGGGGGGGAGGGGGAGCAGGGAGAGGGTATTCTGGATTGGAAATCATTACAAGCGGCCGCATTGTTGATGAAGATGGAATTCCCTTGCACTCTGTTTTGTTTGGGTGGTTTTTTTGGTTTGTTTTTTTTTTTTTCCCCTTCAGGACCTGTTTGTGACAGGGAATGATCCTAAGTGTTGTGTTCCTGTGAAATACCTGTGTAAACCCGTCCTTGGGACAAACTGCGTGCTTGAAATATCTGTAGGTAACAGTCAGGTGAAGGAAGCTGCTCCTCCCACAGTTCTGCTTTTTTTAATAAGAAAAAAAAAAAAAAAGTTACACCAAACGCTCTTATGGAAAAGCTGCTTCTTCCTCCCTCCCTGGAGCTTTGCTCTGATCCTTTCCCGCTTTTGGCTCCGTTGCAGGCTATTTGCTGAGGTTCTGCTTTGTTCATGCCGTTCCTGGGAGGATTTCAATATGTGAAGACCTGAAGAGAGAGGATGCTGTTACCCAGAAGCAGCGATAAAAGCTTCTTGTCAGCAGATTGCAAAGCACTTTATGGGGGGGGGAGGAGGGCTGTGCTAGGGGAAGGAGCAGCTGATGCCAAAGCCGCCCCTGTCTCAGGTGTGGGTTTGGCTTTGTCCTGGTTCCTGATGAAGATGGGTTCCTGCTGTCTGCAGCCCGGGAAGGTGGCATCGTGCACCTGCGGTTCTGCTGCCTTCGCTATGGCCAAAGGATAGGAAAAGGGAAAAAAAAAACCCACAACCCGGTGGGTGCCTGTTTCTGCACGCCTGTGGGTGCACGAGAGTCCGTCACGGCTCTCGGTGTCCCGGGACCTTCCCTCTCCTTAGCCTGGAAATGTCTTTTTCAAGCATTAAATGCTGAAAGGGTGCACTTGCTCTCTTTGTGGGCGTTATTTAAAAAGTTCTTGGAAAAAAAAATAGCTGTACAAACCCCACGGCTGCTCCTTTCCCTGGGGAAAAGGCTCTGCGTGAGGTCCCCTCTGCCAGGGACGAGCTGTGTGCGTGCCGGGGGGGGGCCGCGGTCTGTTCCTTACCGAGCTGGAGCAGCGCACAGAGCTGCCCTTGGAGAGCAGAGCGGCTTTTAAAAATACCCCTTGCCGAGGCCAGCCCGCGCTCAGTGGGATGCTGAGCAAGCCCTGGGCCCCGCTCTCCGCCAGGATGCGTGCGAGGAGGCTGGGTCCCCAGCAGAGGGGCAGTGCTGCCGCGCAGGGAGGGAGCTGCGGCTGGCCTTTCACATGCTCGCCTTTGGGGCAGCTACGCTTATACCGTGGGCCTTAGGGGGTGACGAGCGCCCTAACTCGTGCTGGCATCGTGAAAGCCATGTGAAAATCTGGGTGGTTTTTTTTTTTCCACATTTATTCCATAGGTTTCTACATCTTCTCCACAGAGGCAACCACTGCTCAGCTCTACCCCAGAGCCTCAGCAACAGCCAGCAGGGGAAAGCACTTGGCTTAGTAAAGAAAACTCTTTTCTGAATCAAGTCACTTTTATTTTTTTCAAGCGACACGACTCAAGTTTTTGTGTTTGGCAGGGATCGCACGCCAGCCCCATCACTGCTGCGGGGTGCCCTGTGCCAGCCTGGCGGGGGGGTGGTGGCCCCCAGAGATGGCTGGCAGGGACCCCCCCCCCCACCTCAAACCCTGTCCCCCCCGTGCCAGCGGTGCCCGTTTGCTCTCGTCCCCTCTGCATGAGCATGAGTTTGTGCACCGAAGTAACTGTGCGGCGCAGCTCGACCGCTTTGCCAGCGCTGGTCTGAGTTGGACTGATAAAAGCTCTCGGTGGAAGTAGCTTTAACCACGGTCTCAGTAGCTACAAACCCTCTTCACGTTTTAACCGCCAGGCAGGGAGGTGCTGATGCTTGGTTTAGGTAAGGAGAGGCCCGCGATGCTGTGGGCTCCTGTCCCACGGGGTGGGCGTCCTCCCCTGGCACCCCCACGCTGCAGAGGGAAATGGGAATTGTGTTCCTGGAGCATTGTGACCGAATGGGAATGAAAGCGCAGCTTCCCTTCCCACGAGGGCGCAGAGCAGCCCTGCGGCTCGGCGGGGGGGGCAGCCCCACGCCTTG